CTCCCTCTGAGACCCTTCCTCTTTCTCTCGCCCACTCTCCATCCCTTTCTCTCTTACCTCCTCCCCCTACCTCCCCCTACCCCCCCACCTTCCCCTCTTCCCCACTAACATACAAAGCTTCAAATGGTAATGAAGTTCTTTCTCTACCTTCCCTGGTTTACAAACAATGGAGGAGGCAAATGTTATGATAACCGCGTGCTCCATTGTGCCTTTAAGAGAAGGGGTTGGGGAGGGGGGAGCGAAGGGGGGTGATGTAGAAGAGAGAGAGAGAGAGAGAGAGAGAGAGAGAGTAGAGAGAGAGAGAGAGAGAGAGAGAGAGAGAGAGAGAGAGAGAGATAGAAAAGAATGGCAGGAGAAAGGGTGGGGAGGAAGGAGGAGAAAGAGAGGGAGACGATAGTGGGAGATAGAGAAGGTCGGGGAAGAAGAAGAGGTTGTGGAGAGAGGGAGAGAGAGAGGGAGAAGGATGAAAGGCAGGCAAGTAAAGTGGGAGAAAGGGAGAAAGAAAGAGGGACATGGAAAAGAAAGTGGTGATAAAAAGTGAAATAGAGAGGAGCTTGACAAATAGGGAAAGGGGATGACAGAAGAGTAAGAGAGATATTGGAGACACAGGGGGAAGAGAAAAATAGAAAAGGAAAAAGGGAACAGCTAATAATGGCAATAAAGATGGAAGAAATGGTAGACAGAGTAAGAAATGTATACATATGTATCATATTAATAGTGATAATAAAAACAACTGTGATGACAATATTGATAATGATAATAGTAATAATGATAATGATAATAATCGTAGCGACAATAACGATGATAGTAATAATACTAGTAGTATTAATAATGACAATGACGATAAATACCAAGGTAAAAATAGGATAGCGTGGTTAAGGGAGTTAAATGAGCAATTCAGGAACAAAACGGAATTTGAAGTAAAAACAGGAAACGGTGCCGACAGTTTGTGTCAAAGGAAATATATATTTTTATAGAGAAAAGACAATTCAATGGCATATAAATTGGCAGAGAATGGATTAATCGATTATATACTAGTCACGGCTCCAAATTTGTAATTGAGGGAAAATGGTGGAAGTAGAAATATGACGACTGGCGAGAGGAGGGGGAGGGGGGGAGGGGGGATGAGGAGGAGGATTGGGGAAGGGAGAGAGGGGGGGTAGGGAGTGGAAGGGTTGAGAAGGAATGGGTGGTGTGGGGAAGGAGAAATGGGGGAGGGGGTAGAGGGAAGGGAAAAGGAAGAGGAAGGAGGGGATGAAAATTTTTCCATACCTACCCCCACCCCTACATCTCCCCCTCCCCTCCCCTCCCCTTCTTCCTCCCCTCCCCCTTCCCCCTTCCCCTTCCCCTTCCCCTTCCCCTTCCTTCCTCATTTTTGTGACCTTTATTGTCTTAAGGTTTCAAAAGTTCCCACGCGATCTACTCCAGCTTGAGTTACTGTTTACGGTGAATCCGCCATTGTGGTGTCGCGGGGAGGGAGCGAATCATGGGAAGGAGGTGGGAATTTAGAACGCTAGATAGATGGAAAATTGATAATGATAGGAAAGAGGAGATGTGATAGAATTATAGATCGGAAGGGAAGAGATGGAAATTGGAGAAAGGAAGGGACTAAGTGAAGAATGTGAAAGGAGGAATGGAGGAGAGTAAGATACGGAATGCGAGGCTGATGCGGAAGGAAGGAAGATCGCGAAGAAAGAAAGAGGCAAAGAAAAGAAGAAAAATGAAATAAAAATACTTAGATAAAATAAAAGAAGAGCAAGGTAAATATCAAAGCAAAGGGTGAAGCAGAAGACAAGGTTTACAGTAAGAGAGAACGTGGAAGTAGAAAAGGTAAAAGTAAGAAAAACTAAAAGAAAATAGAGATAGAGCAATAGGGACGAAAAGAGAAGAAAGAAGAGAGAAAGAAAGCTTCACAGTGGGAGAGAACGAGAAGGAAAAAAAATGATGAAGAAAGAAGAGAGAGAGAGAGAGAGAGAGGCGAGAGAGAGAGAGAGAGAGAGAGAGAGAGAGAGAGAGAGAGAGAGAGAGAGGCGAGAGAGAGAGAGAGAGAGAGAGAGAGAGAGAGAGAGGCGAGAGAGAGAGAGAGAGAGAGAGAGAGAGAGAGAGAGAGAGAGAAAAGAGAGAAAGAGAGAGAGTTATCGAGGATGACACAACAGCAGAAGCGAATCAGGGTCAACCGCTGGTACGATCTGGCCGAGTCATTACGCTCCCTTATTTAACAGCGGAAGGTATTCATTTTCATTAATGGCGATAATTACTTCGGATGCGATTTATGTCTCGTAATTGGGGTTAAAAACACCTTTGAAGATCGCCGTCCATTTTAACCCCGGTGTTCATTTCACCGAAAAAATTTAATTTCATTACGTGTGTTTATGCTGTCTCGTTGGTCTTCAAAAGGGGGGTGTACTTACATGGATGTAAGTAAGGCCCATGACCCATTTCGGTTAACACTGTGACATGACACTTATGGATGTAGAGCGTGGGAGGGTTACTCGCCGGCCTTGACATGTGCTGTGTCATCTTACCTTCTGCTGGTGTCCTAT